GGGGTCAGGGTCTAGCTGCTCTGTATCTGCAGGAGCCCGGTGAGGGCTGGCGCCAGAGGGAGGCTTGGGGAGGGTTCCCGCTCCACCTTCGCGGGGGGAGAACGAGAGATAAGAGACCCAGGTCCAACCCCCACCCCACCCTGCTCTTGAATCACACCAAACTGCTTTGAGTTTCCTAAATACACTTGTTTGTTACCGTCCTGGCCTTTGCTCATGCTGTCGCCTGTGCCTGACGACGCCTTCTCATGCCCACTGCCCAGCTGGTATGAGTGCTGCGCGTGTCTCTACAAACTCAGCTCCAGGGTCTCGTCTGTGAAGGCTTTTTTACCCTCTACCAACCCCTGGGGCCTGAGCCCTCTGCCTCCAGGAGACCCCACGGGCACCAGCGCTCACTAGACAGAGCCAGGTGGGCGGGTCATGGAAGGACTGCACGGCGCTCCTCCCTCCAGCCCACTGTCACCGTGCAGGACCCCGGCCCAGAGTGGCCAGGCCCCTGGCTTTCCCAAGAGAAGCCGAAAAACTTGATAAAACCATGAAATCTCCCGATTTTTAAAACTCAGCCAAAATTTAAGAATTTTAAAACCACCACAGGGGCCCAACAAAGCACATCTTCAGGCGGGATTCTCCAAGGGCTACCACATTGCAGCGTGCACTGGGCCCCTCTCCCAGGCAGAGCGTGTGTCTTACTTGCCCTGCATAGAGGGAAGTTTCTGGCAGGGGTGGGGGTGGGGGAGAGGGAACCTCCCCAGCTTTGTGCCAGAGACTTAATTGCATCATCTCACGTAATCCTCAAAACAAAACTCTGAGGAAGGTGTGGGACCATTTTCCAGCCAGGAAAACTGAGGCTCAGAGAGGTGAAGTAACTTGCCTAGGGACTCACAGCTAGCAAACTGCAGAGTTAATTTCAACCCCTGTCTATTTCTTCCTGTCTTCCACAGGGCACACAGGCACCGCCCTCAAACAGCGCCTGCAGCAGGAAGCACTGTACAACTTTTGAATATGATTAACAGTATAATTATTATGGATAGTTAATAATGAACTTAGCGAGCCCCTACAGTTGTGGTGCTGAGACCGAGCGGAAACCAAGAAAGATGAGCTCCCCGCTCTCTTGCGTGGTGTGCACATGGGAAGGAAGGAGACACAACAAGAAAGTCAATGAATTAACAAGTAAGTTCAGAGTGTGACAGCCCGGCAGAGCAAGGGGAGGTGACCAAGTCGGGGGGAGGCCGTCGGAGGAGTAGGAGCTGCCCCCCCGGAAGCTCTGGGCCTTTTGCTCCCTGCTCCCCCCCTGTGGCTTTCCCGCAGGAGGGGGGATGTTTGTTCAGTCTGGCTGAATCCCCCTGGGGTCCAATCCGACAGGTCTCATTTTCCTCCACACGTTGTCAAGCCAGATCTGAACATTAAGCATTCAAGAAAGCCCCAATCTGCAAATATTTACCTTTCATTCAGCAGCCTCAGACCCTCCCCTCAGGAGACCCCATTAAGACCCCCTCCCAGGAACCACAGGCAGGGTGACGCTGGGAGAGTTTAATTCCAGACGTTTCTCTGAGCAGGTGAGGCTGCTCAGTCAGGGGGTGTAGGCTCCCCGCAACCAAACCCAACACGCGTGCGCACCCACACTTTCTTCCACACCCCACCACATCTCAAAACCCCTGAAACCTGTTCAAAATCTGTCTGACTGCAGCTCAGACCTGCACTGGGCTCCTGCAGAGAACAGTCCAACTGGACACGGTGGGCCAGGTGGGGCGGCAGCTCTGTCTCCTCCTGCTCCATCAGCCCCGACGGGGCACCGTCGTGTCCCCAGTCAGGAGGACAGCAGGAGGGGCCTGGACGAAGTGGGATCCACAAATGACTCTCAGGGGGCGGCTGGAGACCCTACACCCTCTCCCAGGGCATGTGTCCCCCACACTCTCCTGCACGCACGGCCTGTCTCACACCTCGCCCACCCTCAGATGGGCCTCTGCAGGCAGAGCCTACAGATCAGTCCTGAGAGGCCTCACAGCAGTGACTGACTGTGACCTGGTTCAAATCCCAGCTCTGGCACTCATCCGCTGTGTGACCTTGGACAAGTCACTTCACCTCTCTGTGCCTCGCTCTTGCATCTATAAAATGGGGATACAATACTATCTATTACCTCACAGAGGTATTCTGGAATTAACTGAGTCACCTCTAGAGTACTTAGAGGAGTACCTGGCACAGGGCAAGTACCATGCAAGTGTTAGCTGCGGTTATTACCATGACTACTAGATTCCTAATATCTAAACTCCATCTCCATTTCCATCCTAAGCTAATTATTACAAAGACTACACTTCGCATTAGTAGCAGAAGGGACAGGAACTCACACACAAACGCCCTCCATATGTCAGGCACTGTGCCAGCACGTCACTGGGTTATCAAATTTGAGCCTTCCCAGGACGCCGAGGGCTCTGGCGTCTTTCATCTCTCCCACTGTGGGTCAGACGAAACTGGCCCAGAGGGGCCCGGCGTCTTGCCCAAGTCACACAGCAGCGAAAGGACAGAACCAGAGACCTCACTCAGGGTGGGGGGCCTCCAGACTCCTGCTCTCTCCACAGCACCCGCTGTCCCCCAAGGAGTAGGAGACGGGGACAGGCGGGGCCTGGATCCCTGCCCTCAGGTCCCTGGCTGCGGTTTCAGGGATGCCGGCCACTGCAGGATTTCAGCCCTGCCGCTGGGCCACCTGCAAACCTGTGCAGAGATCTGCCCACGTGCTCTGAGCTCTTTGTAGGGAAGGCACCAAAAAAAAAAAAAAAAAAAAAAATTAGAACAGCCCAGCTAAGCTGAAATGCTCTCCTCAGAGAGGAAGGGAAATAAAATTTGATGAACCTCTGCATAATGTTCCAGTTATGAATGTGTACAGTGATATTCTGCACATATGCTGGGGAGCATTCTCGTCTCCCACATCGTCGGGGCCTGAGCCGTTAGGGCCCATCTGAACTGGGGCACCAGCCAGTGGCAGCTTCTTGCTGCTGAGACATGAAGCGGTCCTGTCTCCTGCCTCAGCAAAACAAGCTTGCCCATGGCTGCCCTGGGAGGTGGCTCTCTCGCAGCGGAGGGGACGACTGACACACTGTGAATGGGGTGGCTTTAGACATCAGGCTGTTTATACGGCAGCTATAAACATTTCCTGAGTGCCTACTATGGGCCCTGTGCTATGCCTTTCATCGCCACCTGCCTAGTGACCGTGCTCTGTCCACGGCCGTGGGCGAGGCAGGCCTGTGTGCCAGCCTGACCTCTCTGGCCACAGCTGACTGGCCCGGGACTGGACACTTGACCTGGGATTTGATGTGGGGGGCGCTGGGCTGCTGAATCTGCCCCAATGATGGTGGCGCTTGAGCTGAAAGGAGGCAGTCAGGACGGAAGTCTCCAAAGAGAAGAATTCAGGTGATCACCAAACAAACCCACAGAACATTTCGTGAGCATCTGCTAGGTGCCTGGCCCAGTTCTAGGTGCTCAGCATACAGTGGGGAACAAGACAGCTCCTTCTATCACGGCTCACAGTCTACACACTATCGAACAGACAAACAAATAGAATAATGTCAGATTGTGTCAGCTGCCATGAAAAAGTAGCAATGGGATAAACAGTGACTAGGACAGAGTGTATGGCATGTGCAAATTTAGACCAAGTGATTAAGAAAGGCCTCACTGAGCAGGTGACACCTGAGCTGAGACCTGAGAGAGCAACCAGGTGAGTATTCTACAGCATGTGCAAAGGCCTCAAGGTGGGGATGAACTTGCAGTATTCAGTGGACAGAAAGGAGGCCCATATGGCAGAGGAGAGATGATGGGGTCTGTAACAGTCAGAGGTCCTTGTGTGGCCCCCACCATGCACCTTCTCAGCTTGAAATCCTTCCACATGCCCCATGGAGAGTCCAACTCTTCTACACTGCCTGGCTCCGCAGCAAGTTCCCCCTTGTCCTCCTCAGACTCTGTCCTTGGTCCTGAGAACCTTTCGGTTCCTTGCCACTGAAAGGCATTACTGCACGTCCAATCAGCTCCCCCAGAAGCAGACTCCATGATAAGGATTTGGGTTCAGGTAGTTTATTTAGGAATTGATTCCAAGAAATATGCTATCCATCCATCCAACCATATATCCATCCATGCATCCATGCGTCCATCCAACCATCCATTCATCCATCCGCCCATCCACCCATCCACCCAACCATCCATCCATCCATCCACCCAACCATCCATCCATCCATCCATCCATCCATCCATCCATCCATCCACCCACCCACCCATCCACCCAACCCTCCATCCATCCATCCATCCATCTACCCATCCATCTATCCATCCACCCACCCACCCATCCATTCATCCATCCACCCACCCAACCATCCATCCATCCATCCACCCAACCATCCATCCACCCAACCATCCATCCATCCATCCATCCATCCATGCATCCATGCATCCATCCACCCAACCATCCATCCATCCATCCATCCATACGTACATACATACATACATACATACACACATACATAAGTACACCCACCAGTTATTATCACCTTCTCCATTCCCAGCTGGACTCTGAGGACCCAGCTGATCAGGTGTGGTCCCTGACTTTGAGGAGCCCTCCTCCTCTAGCAGCCATCACCAATCCCACTGCTGGGTCCTCTTTTCACTCAGTTCTGTGACAAAGGCCAAGAAGGAAACCTTGGTTCGGCCTCTGGAGGCGCCTACTTTGGTTCTAAGAAGCATGAGGCCAAATGCCAACACTCATACTCGGTTTCTCAAGCTCTGATTACATAAGCCCAGGGCAACCTCATGCCCCATGAAACATTAAAATACCCCAGAAATTCCAGAAGAATGGGGTCCAAACTCTGCCTCACCCAGCCTGCACTTTCTACCCCACCACCCCTCAGAACACTTTCGTCAGACCACTCACTCCAGTTTTTGAGTGGAGACCTGTGGCCACTGGGGCCAGCCCCTGGGCTTCAGATCCCCAGTGGTGGCAGAGGTGACCCACGTGCACTGACCTCTCCCGGAAGTACTTGATGGCCTCAGGGTCTATGAAGGTCGGCTCCTCGCGGTAGCCCTGCTCAAAGACCTTGCGCTTGTGCCGGAACTCAATGACCGTCTTGGTGTAGGAGTTGAGCGTGGTGACAGAGGCTGCCATGCAGCAGGTAAAGGAGCCCCACGCCAGGCTGCCAAGAGATCAGGAGAGAGGTGCACGGTGAGGGCGAGCAGGGGACAGGAAACCCCACCCACAGACATTCATTCCCCTGCACGGCTGCCTCCTCTGGGCCAGACCTAAGCAGGTGTTGCTGTAGAGAAGAACAAGACTCGGTCCCTGCCCCACTCACAGTCTGGTCTGGGAGACAGCATTATCTGCACATTGTGATGCAGACACGACAGAGCTCATTACTGGGAGGCAAGAAGACAGCAAGTTGTTCCATCCAAGGGGGCCCGCATCAGGGAAGGTTACCAGAAGACAACAAGCTCGCAGTGCATCTTGGAGGATGAGCGAGAGTTTGCCAGGGGAAAGAGTGTTCCAGGAGGGGAAGAGTGTGTGCAAAGGCACGGAGGCGGGAGGCAATAGGGAATGTTCTACAAACTGTAGAAGGTTTGGAATACTGGAGTGAGGGTGCGTGAGGAGGTTAGCGGGAGCTGGTGATGGAGTGGTAGATGGGGGCCAGATACCCTAAAAGCTGGTTTCCATGAGAGTTAAATGACCTTTGTTCATGGGCGACCTTGGGCGAGATGCTTCAGCTCTCTGCCTCATACCCCTCATGTCCATTTTAACGGACAGAACAACAGCACCACCTCACAGGGCTGTTGCAAGGTTGAAAGGAAATGATCCATTGAAAACATCTTGGAACAGTGCCTGGCACATAGTAGGCACTTAAGAAAGGTCTGCTCTCATTCCTATCATTAACATTCTTACTATACACTGCTGGCTGACATGGTTTCCAAGCTCTCCCTCTGAGAGCTTGTTATAATGACCTGCGTGGCTCTCTGCTCCACACTTCCCCATGCACAGCTGGGGGCTCCTGGCTGCGCTCACCTGATGTGTATGCTGAGCCAGCCCAGAGCTGGAGAATCTGTTCTGTCCACGTCTGGAAAGCAGGGAAGGATCGTTTGTGGCTAGGAGGCTCAGCTGGCCAGGATGCTGATCTTCCCTGACCCACTGCCCCTTCTAGAAATGGCCATGGGCCTGATTCCTCTGACCAAGACCATGCGGTAACACTTAGAACCAGGAGTGGGGTATCCGCCTTGCTCCAGTCACATCTGATCTGGTTTCCGGGTCCCTGTTCCCCAGTCTCTGCCTTGATGACTGGTTTCTTCCACATCAAGGGCTCAGTTTTGTTGTTCCCAACCTCGTATTGTCTCAGAGCCTCCGGCCTCCCCTTCCACCAGCTATGCGTCGGGTCTCAACACCACCATCCCTGCATTCCTCAGGGTCAGTGCAGCCCACCTCCCACACCCACTGCTCTTCTTTTTGTCAGCCTCAGAGCACCCAGACGGAAAGCAAGGGAAATCCGAGGATTCAGTCTTTCAGGGATCCCCAATCATCATCTACTCCTATTGCCAAACCCATGAATGGATTCCCATATTCTTTTGATAAGGAGCTAATTGGATCTCCCAGAAGCTCTGCATATCCATAATAGACAGCTGTGAGGTGCCAGTCTGGCCCCTCTAAGAACCGCCCTGTCCATCAAAGGGTCCAGTAGGTGACCCCACCCTCCTGTTCATAGATGATTGGATGAGGGCTGAACATCTGACCAAAGCTGGTCCAGTCAGACACTCTCTCCTCCGAGCAATGATCCGGGAGTCTGCTTGAACTAGAGGCATGGGAGTTGAGAGCGAGGATGGAGCATGAAGAAGCAGGCTTTTCCTGGGATTCCGTGAGTATACACACGTCAGCTTTGCCTGACCAGCATCCATCTGTTAAGGGATTGCCCCTTCCCTCCTCTCGGGCCATGTGGTTTGCGTGGGGCTGGCCTCACCCCCAACCCTTCGGAGTGAGCCCACGACCTAGGCCTGGCCGATGAGAGTGTCGCTTCCCTCTGGCCTCAGTCACCGGTTCAGGGATGGGCGTGTGATACCCAAGTCAGGCTAATGAGACTCAATCCCAGGACTTGCGCTGGAGCCATCGGGAAACAGGGCCCATCTTTCTTCTGGAGGCCAAGCTGGTGGGATTTGAGCCAGGACTGCTGGGGGCCATCTTGCCACCATGCAACCTGAGGGTGAAGCTGAAGTAAAAGAAAGGAGAGCCACGAACAGGAGCCACGTCCCTGAGCTGACGCCAGTACCCCTGGACTTCTCAAGTTACGGGAGCCCAAATTCCTTTTCCAGATGTGTTTTCCCTTAAGCCGGTTTGAATTGGGTTTCCGTCATTGGCAACCAAAGTTCTTACACAACTGCTTTCTATAAATTCCTTTCTTTTGCATAAGTTAGTTTTACAGTGAATGTCTAGTCTTTCCAACCAGGGGTCTTAACTCTGCCCAGGCCCGACTCCCAACTCTGGTGACTCAACCAGAGGAGGAGCGTCACTCTCCATCTCACACTCCTGTTTCATCTCACCACAGCCCTCGTCACACCCTGTAATCCTCCTGCAGACTTTTTTCCTATTATTTATTTTTCTTTGTTTTTAAATTAAACTCTTTATTTTGAGATAATTATAGATTCACATGCGGTTGTAAGAAAATACAGAGAGATCCATGTACCCTTGACTCAGTTTGCCCCAAGGGTAACATCTTGCAACTATAGCGCACAACCAGGATATTGACACTGATACAGTCAAGATGCAGAATGTTTCCATACGTCACCACAGTGATCCCTCTTGTTGCCATTTTATAGCCACACCCACTTCCTTCCCAACCTCTGGCAACCACTAATCAGTTCTTCATTTCTATAATTTCGTTATTTCAGGGATGTTATATAAATGGAATCACACAGTATGTATGTTTGGGATTGGCTTTTTTTCACTCAGCATAATTCTCTGGAGAGTCATCCACGTTGTTGGGTGTATCAACACTCTGTCTTTTATGTTGCCAAATAGGATTCCTACCAGCAATGTGTGAGTTTCTCCACATCCTCATCAGCACTTGGTGTTGTCACTGTTTTTTTTTTATTTTAGGTATTCTGATAGACATGTAGTAATATCTCCTTGTGGCTTTCATTTGCATTTCCCTAGTGGCTAAGGGTGCTGAACATTTTCTCATTTGCTTATTTGCCATCGGTGTGTCCTCTTCAGCAAAATGTCTGTTCATGTTTTTTGCCCACTTTCTAATTGGTTTGTTTTGCTGTTGCTGTTGTTTACTGTTGAGCTTTGAGTGTTTTTATCCTAGATACTAGTCCTTTGTCAGACACGAGGTTTACAAATATTTTCTCTCACTCCGTAGCTTGTCTTTCCAATGTCTCATCAAGATTTTTCACAGGGTGAAAATGTTTAATTTTGATGAAATCCAATTTATCAAGTTTTCCTTTTATGCTTTTGATGTCAAGTCTAAGAACTCTTTGCCTAGGTCTGGATCCCAAAGATTTTTCTCCTAAAAATTTAATAGTTTTACGTTTTATATTTAGGCTCATGATCCATTTGAGTTAATATGTATATAAGGTATAGAGTTTAGATCAAGACTGATTTTTCTGCTTATGAAAGCCCAGTAGCTCCATCACCATTGTTGAAAAGGCTATTCCCCCTCCCCCGAATGGATTTGCACCTTTGTCAAAAATCGGTTGGGCATTTTCGTGTGGCCTATTTCTGGGTTCTTTGTTCTGTTCCATGGATCTGTGTCTATCCCTCCAACAATACCACACAGTCTTGGTTACCGTAGCTGTATAATAAGTCTTGAAATTGGGTAGACTGATTCCTCCCACTTTATTCTTCTTTTTGAAAATTTTTTTTAGCTCTTCTAATTCCTTTGCCTTTCCTTATAAATTTTAGAATAATCCTGTCTATATATGTAAGAAATCTGGCTGAGCTTTTGATAGGAATTGCATTAAACCTGTATACCAACTTGAGGAGAACTGACCTCTTTACTATGAACGTGATCTATCTCTCCATTTATTTAGATCTTCTTTGATTTCATTCATTGGCTCTTTGTGGTTTTCAGCATAAAAGTCCTATAAATGTTTTGTTATATTTATGCCTAAGTATTTCACTTTTTTTAGTGTAGATGGTATTGTATTTTTAATTTTGTTGTCCAAGTGTTCATTGCTAGTTAATAGAAATATAATTAATTTTTGTATTTTTATCTTGTATCCTGAGACTATACTGAACTCATTTATTAGGTCTAGGCATTTTTTTTCATAGATTTCTTAGATTTTTCTACATAGATAATCATGTTATCTGCAAATAGGTGTAGCGTATTTCTTCCTTTCCAATCTGCATGCCTTTTATTTATTTTTCATGCTTTATTGCACTAGCAAGAACATCCAGCACCATGTTGAGTGAGACTGGTATTCCCAATCTTAGGGAGAAAGCATTCAATCTTTTACCATCAAGTATAATGTTAGCTGCAGGTATTTTGTAGATGCTCTTTATGAAGTTGAGGACGTTCACGTCTATTCTTAGTTTTCTGAGAGTTTCTTTTTTTAAAAAAAATTGTGAGGGGCCAGCCAGGTGGCACAAGTGGTTAAGTGCACACGCTCCGCTGCAGCGGCCTGGGGTTCACAGGTTCGGATCCCAGGCGCGCACTGACGCACTGCTTGTCAAGCCATGCTGTGGCGGCATCCCATATAAAGTGGAGGAAGATGGGCATGGATGTTAGCTCAGGGCCAGTCTTCCTCAGCAAAAGAAGAGGAGGATTGGCAACAGATGTTAGCTCAGGGCCGATCTTCCTCACACATACACAAAAAAAATCATGAATGGATACTGAATTTTGTCAAACATTTTTTCAGCATTGATTGATATCATCATGTGATTTTCCCTTTATATTCCTTTATCTTCCCCCATTAATAATATAACTGCCTTAAATATTTCCTCTGTGTACATTTAGAACTGCATCAGACCATGTTATAATTTTTGCTTCAACCATCAAGCATGGTTCAGAAAACTCATTTTTCTTTTTTCCTTCCTGATGTTTCAAGATTCCTTCTTCAAAAAAATTTTTTTTCTGCTTAGAGAATTTCCTTTAGCCATTCTCTTAGGGTAGGTTGACTGGCAACAAATGTTCTTAGTTTTTCTTCATCTGAAAATGTC